TATACGTGTTTGTTTGTTAGACTTATTTCTTATGGTTGATTTATTCTAGTTCGTCGATTATACGTGTTTGTTTGTTAGACTTATTTCTTATGAGACTTATTTCTTATGTTTTGATTTATTCTAGTTCGTGTATTATACGTGTTTGTTTGTTAGACTTATTTCTTATGTTTTGATTTATTCTAGTTCGTGGATTATACGTGTTTGTTTATGAAACTTATTTCTTATGGTTGATTTATTCTAGTTCGTCTTATTTCTTATGTTTTGATTTATTCTAGTTCGTGGATGATACGTGTTTATTTGTTAGACTTATTTCTATGGTTGATTTATTCTAGTTCGTGGATTATACGTGGTTGTTTGTTAGACTTATTTCTTATGTTTTGATTTATTCTAGTTCGTGGATGATACGTGTTTCTTTGTTAGACTTATTTCTTATGTTTTGATTTATTCTAGTTCGTGGATGATAGGTGTTTGTTTTTTTTTAACAAACAAACACGTATAATCCACGAACTAGAATAAATCAACCATAAGAAATAAGTCTAACAAACAAACACGTATAATCCACAAACTAGAATAAATCAACATAAGAAATAAGTCTAACAAACAAACACGTATCATCCAATATTGCTTATGTGTCACCACTGCTAGTAAAAGATAAAAAAAAACAGGTGTCAAACTCAGAAGACTTTTTTGATTGACATTACGTTACTTCTTTAGTTAATTAAAGCTAACATCTCACAGCATTATTTTCTAATTTGCTCCTTAGTACCAGCAGAAGAAATAAAACGAAAGTAGCTAAACTAATCTTTAATAATTTTATTTCATTTACTTAAAACACAGGATTTATATTAATTTGATACTAAAATACTTTAATTTGTACAACATAAAAGTTATTTCCACGTTAGAACTGTAGCGTATAAACAAGATGTATTTTTAATGCTGTTAAATATTTCTACAATGAACAATAATATCTACAGGAAATAAAATTGTTGTTCAGACACGTTTTAAGAACTGTTATAAATCCATTAGATATGTATTTCTAAGTAAAGCAAACATAAGCCTAAAAGTTACAGTAGTTACTATTCGAAATTTTCTGCTTAATATATTGAGAAATGATCCTTTACATTGAGGTAGTGTTAAGCTTGAGACAATTTGCTTGATAATACTGTGAGATTAACTAGAATAATTTTAATTGAATAAACCTTTCAATATTTGAAAATCATAACGTTTTTAACCGTAAGCTTTGGTGTGTTGTATAACAACTACAACACACACGTATTATACACATGAATGAAGAAATTATACTAAAACAATCTTCGATACGCGAGTACGTAGGTCATGTGAAAACTATAACCGATATAAAGTCGCTGTGGAACGGCGTGTGTCAGAAGAACATTTTTATATTGTTTGGCGTTTTGTAAATAGTGTAATTACACCGAAAATCGATCGCTTTTGGGAAGGATATGTAACAGCCCTTTCCGTAACAGCCCATACACTCTGATCTTAAAGATTTATTCAGATGTATTTTCAAGACAGGGGATATCTCTTGTACTTAATTGTATTGTTAAACAAGGGAATGTGGATTAAATTGTGGTTCCTGGACCAGTAATAATAACTCGTATTCCAGACGTGTTAACAAAGTGCGGCTTCTTGTAACAGGAGATAACCTTACACACAAAGGTCAGTGGAAAAGGCTGTCCACGTGTCCCAGACAACTACATGTAACATAACCAAAAAGGATTTCCGTCTGGAAATGCGGCACAAGTCACGTGCACACAAGCTGTATTTACGTCATATCTGTTAATTCGTGCATTATTTTATGTTTACCTTTAACATATTTTGCTATTAAAAAAAGGCGGATATAACTCACAAAACTTATTCCGATGGTCAGGATACTCATTTGGTTTCGCTAAGTTCGCAGATCCAAAGATTAACAAAACTCTATGTAAACCCTTTCTTCAAGATACGAACCACGCTATTAATCTTTCACCGGTTTCTCGAAGTTAGCAGGTTTACGATTAAAACACCCTAGCTAAACAGTTTCTTCAAGATAGGAACCATATTATTAATCTTTCAACCAATTTTATCAAACTCGCACTCCTTTGAATAACAGGATTCATGTGAAACCCCTTTCTTCAAGATAGGAATCATACTGTTAATCTGTCAACCGATTTCATTAAGCTATCAGGCCTATAATTAACAGCTTCTTCAACAAATCATTTTATTCTCTTTTTTTGTAATTGGTACGACATTAGTAGTTTTGTACGGTTAATTTCCTCAATCTATTACGTCTGTAGTTTGAGATCATTATCTACCCCCATACATCAAGATATAGGAGCATATTAGTAATTTTTCAGTCCTGGTTACATCAGTATAACATATCTATGATTAACAAGACCTTATCTTAATGATTTTTTAAACAGCAAAATAGTTTCATAAGTTACTGACTCGAGTATCTTTTAGTAAAAAGTAAATTCGGCCAAATTCATATAACTACTTTGGAAAATTCTATTGTTTTATAGAATTATATAGATCACGAAGTTTCATGTGTAAATAGCTTAATAAATTTTTTTTGGTGTGTGGAAATAATCGATATTTATAAGAAGTCTGGTAAAATTATTGTTTCGAAGCGAGTTTGAGAAGTCTTCTGTGGAAAAACATTTTGACTCTCAATTGGAGAGGTCATATTTAGTTTTAATACAGAGGTACTTCCCAAAAAAACTAAATAAGGATATATAACTTTTATTTGATAAGTATTTTCATAGATTATCATTGTGGTAACTATCCTAAAAAGAAATAGTGGCCAAAGTATCTTAATCAAACATCTGGAAACTTGATGACGTAAGAGTTGGAATAATACAAATATGAGGTTATTTCCTATCTTTTCATATTCATAAGAAAGTTAAATAACGATTTTCATCCAAGTTTCTCCACAATTTTTGTCATCTAGTTTTTAATTCATATTACCTATTATTAGTTCGAAGGCAGATATCACAAATATCTTTTTAAGTTTAGTGCTGTTATTGGATGACAAAAGTGATAATAATAATAATTCATCTTATTAATTTTTGTTTATTTTGTTCTCAAAACCCATTTTAATTAACTGTAATCACATTTCTAAATTCTACTTCTCATTTTTCAGACTCTCCTCATTTATCAAAAGTCTGTCTTCTATATTTTCATCATATGGCCAACGTTTCGGAAATTTCTAGTGCTTTCTTTGATGTTATTTTTATTATGATTTATAATTGTGCATAGTTTCAAATTTTAAGATATTGTTTAAAATATGTCTTCTTGAAAATTGGCACTTTAACCCTTACGGCGGATGAAGTAATTTATGAATACATGTCAGTATAATGTTGTCATTTCCCAGATCATTTCTTTCTTAATACACGTTACCCATCGTTAGGAGTAAGAGCATCGTGGTATGTTATTTTAGTTTTGTCAGAAGATGTAAGCAACACTTGCGTGTTAATGTTACTTGTCTTCCAAGATAACAAAAGAAAAGCAACTCATGTACCAGCAGACCCGGAGAAACATTAAAAGCGTACTGGTTCATTAATTGATTTAAAGACTTGGCTCTTTCTGTGCTAATTTATCCTTGATGCTGCTCCTCACTAACTGTGTGAATGAAAGATCAGACCAGGAAGAGCGTCACTCTCATATCTCTAGAGGCTTCCTGTTCGAACTTTGTATTTCCAAGAAAACACAATTGTAATAATGTTCGGCCGAACTAAATAAATTAACAATTTACAAAGTAGGTACTTATCTTGTGAAAAGAAAAAATATGACCTTAATCAAGTAATTAAACTTGCAGGTTTTAATCTATTTCTTACGCAAATAATTGATTTAGCAACACTGCCAAAAATAGAGGAAAGACAAAATTTAATTGTAAAAATATGATTATAAAACTCTAAAGACTGATTATTTATAACCTATAATAAGTGACAAAATATGTTTAATCTTGTGTTTCAAGTTCGAGGAGTAACGGAAAAAAAAGCCAATTGTTTATATGTAATAAAATTTACCCTGTGCTATGAAATCTGCTTCATGTAATAAGGGCATGCCATTTTACAACCATAAAAAAAACTTTTTAAACATCTTCAAGAAATATGTGTTTGAAATAATTGATTAGGATAGAAATTTTTGACTTTAATTAAGGCATAACAGATGCTACTTTAAAAGAAATGTTTGACTAGTTAGAAAATATAGTATATTTTTCCTTATTAGTGAAGACTACAAAATGAAAATAGAAAGCAATCATGTAAGAGTTATGTCATAAAGTATTCTAATACCAAATACTCAACAGACTTCTAAGTCTTATTTAACTGAATCAAGAATCGTAACCAGCCACAATGTTTTAAATACAAATATGTTAACTTCTTTTTCAGATGAACAGCAAAGAATAGCCCAGCTGATCCGTACCAAGTCATCAAAGCAGAACTATAAAGGAAAGTTTGGACAAGAAGTCTTTCTCTCAGTATATGCAAACCTTTTTGATTAATCTAGGACCTTAAACCCTGCAAGTAATTCTTTCTTTCTAGTCAAAAGTATTCCTGTTCTGATGTCAAATTATGTGGAAATTAATAATTTCTTGTGGTGGATAGACGTTCTTTACCAACAAAGCACTGATTGTACACATTTGGTCAGTATCCTTCACGAATTTGAATCACAATATGGGAGAAAATTGCAGGAAGAAAATGTGAGGACGGGCAAGACGTTATTATAAATACGATCCATATTCCGTGTTTGATCTATAGGTCTTAGGCCGTAACAAAAAAATATAAGTTTTATCCTTTGTATTTCGTGAATTTGGAACTTTTTAGCTCTAATCCTTAGTTATGACATGATAAGATACCGTTCTTTAGTTATATTCTAATGTGGGTTTCTGGAAAAAAATGTATGTCAGAAAATATAAAGGAAATCAAGAAAATGTACACATTTCTAAAGACTATCTAAACTACGCTGCACAATAAGCCCTGGGTAAAAAATAGAATGAGAAGATGAGCCCTGGAGAGTCTGTGTTCAATTATACAGACTATCTTCTGGCAGGCAATGATTCAGTGATTGAACCCGATCTTAACATAGATGCCGCCGATCTGGCTTTCCCAACCTCCATCAGGATCACAGCTACTTTTTTTTGTGTAGTGATCTTAGTATTGGGAACAACTGGGAACATTTTGGTACCCATTGTTGTGTGTTGTACAAAAGAGCTGAGAAACTCCACTAATATCTTCCTCATCAACCTAAGTGTAGCTGATTTACTGGTTTTACTGGTCTGTATGCCCACCGTGTTGATAGAGCTTCATTCTAAGCCGGAGGTTTGGGTTCTTGGAAAAGGAATGTGTAAGAAAAGTTTCTTTGTTGATAAGATGTATATTATTTATCTAAATAAGGCCATTTTTGTTATAAATTACACAATATTCACATATAAAAGATTATGCAGCCTAAGAACCT